CAGCAGGAAGGATGAGCATCTTTTGCCAAGACTCAGGTAGCACCAGGGAAGATCTAGGTGCAGGATCCTGTGAACTCACTCCCCCACTGGCTGTTCCTGGTGAAGACAATTGTTAGGAGGTAGGCCAATGGGCCAGGGCAGGCAGGAGATGCTGGGACACCTCTGCTACGGTGGCCAGGCCCCCCGAGGCACGTGGATGGCTTTGTGCCCGTTGGTCGGGCTCCACCCAGTGGTCTGTCTACACAGACAACTCCAGAGATCCTGCTTTGGCTTGGAGTCACCTCCCTACTTCCCACACCTACTGACAGGCCCAGCGGGCCTCGGTCTTAGGTCTTTGCCTCTAAGCTCCCTACTGGTGGGGCAGGGAGGGACAGGACCCAGGCTGGCCCCTCACAGTTGTGTGCTCTCCTAGGAGCCATGCGGGGCCAGCGGAGCCTGCTGCTGGGCCCTGCCCGCCTCTGCCTGCGCCTGCTTCTGCTCCTGGGCTACAGGCGCCGCTGCCCACCTCTGCTCCGCGGCCTGGTTCAGCGCTGGCGCTATGGCAAGGTCTGCCTGCGCTCCCTGCTCTACAACTCCTTTGCAGGCAGTGACACCGCTGTGGATGCTGCCTTTGAGCCTATCTACTGGCTGGTGGACAACGTGATCCGCTGGTGTGGGGTGGTGAGTGATGCCTGGGGACAGGAACAGGGATGTTTGGGGGTAGCAGAGGGACATGTGTCTGATGGACCTACACTGGGTTTGGACCCACACTGGCCTCCTACCCTGGGGAAACTCCTGAGTCTACCCTGGGTGTTGGCGAGCTCTCTCACTGCGTCTTCTTGACCTCCCTGGTGTCGGCAGGTGTTCGTGGTGCTGGTGATTGTGCTGACCAGCTCCATCGTGGCCATCGCCTACCTGTGTATCCTGCCCCTCATCCTTCAAACCTACTCAGTGCCACGACTCTGCTGGCATTTCTTCTATAGTCACTGGAATCTGATCCTCATCGTCTTCCATTACTACCAGGCTATCACCACTCCACCTGGATACCCACCCCCGGTGGGTCCCCCCTCAGGGGCATGGGGGAGGGAGAGAACTGCAGGCTATTGGAGCCAGTTCCAGGAGTGCGGAGGGAGAGTGCCTTGGTATTTTGGAGGTACGAAACCGGTGCTGCCACAGTTGTCATGGTGCTTTTCTCCCTCTGCACAGGGCAGGAATGATATCACAGCAGTCTCCATCTGTAAGAAGTGCATTAACCCCAAGCCAGCCCGAACACACCACTGCAGCATCTGCAATAGGTGGGTCTCTGGGAACCCCAGCTGTGGCCCTTTTGCTGTAGCTCTAGGGCAGAACCTAGACCTGGAATTTGACAGGACATTTATGAGGCACCCCTCATGTGCCAGGCAGTGTGCCCTCTATATCGGGACACCTGGTCCTCAGGATCGTCCTGCAAGTTCCGCATCTTCACCACTTGTGGAAAGTGAGATTCAGAGAGATGGGCCAGGGTAGGCAAGAGACCCGGAGTTAGCTCGTCCAGTGTCATGTAGCCAGTGAAGCAGGGTTTGAAGCAAGGCCTGGCTCTCCTCAAAGTCTGTGCCCTTTCCACCTCAGCAGGATGCTGGTCCTTATAGGAAAGGATTGGCACTGACATCTCAAGATCCTTGGCCACCGTAACAGAGCCTGTGTCCCTCCCTCACAGGTGTGTGCTGAAGATGGATCATCACTGCCGTATCCTTTTATTATCTCTTCTGCCTGAGGCCTCCTCCTTTAGCTCCAGAGCACTGCAGGGGTTTAAGGGCCACAAACCCGAGGCTTCTAGCATCACCCTGCAGAGAACACTGGGCTCATGAGAAGTTTGTAGAAGAGCAGGTTTCGGGGCTGATACCTCCTGGGGAAAGCAGGGGGCCTACATGCTCTCTGGGATGGATCTTCTTGGAGCAAGGCGCCCATCCCTAACAGCTCTTTCTTTGTAGACTGTCGTGCTAACATCTATTGGATGGAAAGAGATGTTTGGTTCAGCGGGTTGTCCAGTAGGTGTCCAGATAGAACCGTTGGTCCCTTGCTGCTGTCCCACACAGATGTCTGGTTAACCCGTTAGGTTGAAGTATTGGCAGACTCTTTCTACTGAAGGATTTCAGTTTTCATGATCTCCTGATGGGCCTTGTGAGGGCTTTGAAAAGCTTTAACACTTTCACCTCAACTGCAAGGAAGTCCCATATTTTCCTGCCTTTGGTGACAGGAAGCCTTGGGCTTGGATGATGTTGTCAGGAACCAAGGATGAGCCAGAGAAACCTGGGCACGCCCTGAAGTTGTGTGTGCGGTCTTGTCCTTAATCCTGCCCCCACCAGCCTGGCTAAACAACTGTGTAGGCCACTATAACCATCGGTACTTCTTCTCTTTCTGCTTCTTCATGACTCTGGGCTGTGTCTACTGCAGCTACGGAAGTTGGGACCTTTTCCGGGAGGCTTACGCTGCCATCGAGGTGAGCCTGTAGTTAGGAGCAGGGCAGCTCGATAGCACTTTGGGGTGTGGAATCCGTCCCTAAGGAGCGGGGCTGGTAGCACCCCCCATCCTAGAGGTCTGGGAGTATAACCAGCACTGTTTTCCATCCCCTTAGAAAATGAAACAGCTCGACAAGAACAAACTACAGGCGGTTGCCAACCAGGTGGGCTGTCCCCACCCCACTGCCTCCTGCTGCTCAGGCCAGGGGTATAGAGTTGCTGAGGCAACTGGGGCCCACCTGTTAGTCGAGTTGTAGAGGCTGGGGTAAGGGGCCAGTCGAGACTGGATCGGGGTGTTTCTGGGCACTGTCGGCCACGGGCAGACTAAGTGGCCTAGGGGCAAGCTGGGAGTCCCTGGTACGTGACAGTTTTTGGCTCTCTATTCCATTATCACCTTCTTGGGCTGAGCAAAGGGCTCTGCCTTGGTGATGGCCTGAGCAGCAAGGAGTCTATGTCAGTCTGTGTAACGGGGTTCCAGGGGACAGAGGTCGGGCTGCGCCAGTCTGACCATCCTTTGTTCCTGGTCTGTCTGCGTCCGCAGCAGGATCATCCCTTCTCCCCTGGCCTTTTAGGACTCCTTATTCTGAGCAGATCTTGGGCTTGTGATTGTGTCTCTGCTGCCCTTTCGGTCCTTAGTGGGGCTCACAGTTCTCCCCCTCGTTATTCCATTCTGGGTATGGGTCTCGTCCCCTCTTGGGGATTACAGCCACACAGTTCTAGCTGGGGAGTGGAGTGGCTTCCCCTGGAGCCCCATTTGTGTTGTCAGAGCTAAAGGCCCAGGGTTGGTCCCTCCTGTGCTTTACCATCCTGTCCAGACCTGCTCTGCCCCGTGTTTGTCCATGATGATGCCACCAGCTTGGTCCACCCATCTAGCTGCTGCCCTGACTCTTCTGTGGCTTAACCCCCTATTTTCTCATCATGGGCTTGGATCACTTCCCTGCCTGCAGGTGTTGGGCTCTGGTGGAGACCAATGGAGCAAATGATCCAGACTGTGCTGTTTTCTTTTTCTAGACTTATCACCAGACCCCACCACCCACCTTCTCCTTCCAAGAAAGAGTGACTCACAAGAGTCTTGTCTACCTCTGGTTCCTGTGCAGGTATCTCAACTCTCATTTTTGACAGTTTGAGGGGCAGCTTCAGAAAACCCTTTTTTGGTGCCCACAGCCAGGCAGGAACCCATCCCTGTGTAAACTGCTGCTGTTCTTATTCTCACTTAGGTTGGCAAAGAGTAGGGCTTAATTTTCTTCAGCATTTGGGGGCAGGGAACATTAAAGATTTGGCATTGAGTGTTTGGTATGTGCCAAGGGAGGTTAAACTCCTACTTAAAGGGTAGGTGCATTTCATAGATGAGGAAAATTGCATATCTGAGGGGTGAGGTGATTTGTTCCATGATACACAGCTAGGAATGGTAGAGCTGGAATCTGAATGTTGTGCCATTTTTTTCTAGCACTTTGGGTAGAGGTAGTGCTTTTACTACCTCTTCTGTCTCCCAAGCATGGGTATTTTAGGAAATATATAACATTTTCATTAGTAATAGACTTATTTCCGCATCTTGCTTTCCACATCATTTATTCTTAGCCCACATTGATGCTTTTTCATGGATGCAGTGAAGTAAAAGTTCGTCTGGGACACGTACGCTGGGAGTTAAGGCAGACTTAGACATAAGTCCCTAGGCAGTCACTTGCTCAATTTCAGACCTACGCATGGCCTCTCCCTCCCTCCACACTACCCCCATGATCTTTGCCCCTCTTTTCTCAGTTCCGTGGCACTTGCCCTGGGTGCCCTAACTGTATGGCACGCTGTTCTCATCAGTCGAGGTGAGACTAGTATCGAAAGGCACATCAACAAGAAGGAGCGACGCCGACTGCAGGCCAAGGGCAGAGTAAGTAGGGCTGGGATTGGGGTGGAGGGATGGGTAGGTAACTGAACCTGCCGTCCTATAAACAGAGGCCATGGTCAGGGCCAACTAAGGCAGGCATCATGAAATCCAGAACTTGCCTGGCCAATTTAGGCTCAAAATTGGTTTAAGGAAAAGGGTTCATAGAAACATGTTTTTCTTTGCTCTAGGTTTTTAGGAATCATTACAACTATGGCTGCTTGGACAACTGGAAGGTATTCCTGGGTGTGGACACAGGAAGGTAAAGTAAAATATTTAGACCAGCGCTATTCATTGAACTTTCTGTGATGAGAAAGGTATTCTATACCTCTGCTGTCTAAAACATTAGCCATTAGTCACATGTGGCTTTTGAGCGCTTGCAATGTGGCTAATATATCAGTGAATTGAATTTTAAATTTAATTTCATCTTCACCAATTTAAATAGGCATGTGTGGCTAGTGGCCCCCTTTATTGGTACGGTAGCAGGTGACGACGACAGAATCCTTAGAAAGCTGTTCTCGAGAAGGGACCTCTAGTTAGGGTATGCTGGCCACCAGTCACCTCTCATTTCTATGGCAGTGTCTGGATTTCAAGCACATAATTTGTGGGATTGAAGTCATCTATTTGTGACAGAGGTCCTAAGACAATAAATGAAGCTATAGCTCCCTCAGCCCAAGAGACAAAGGTAAATCATTCTTCAAACTGCAACTACTGAGGCAGTAATAAGTAGGTGACTATAAGTACCTGCCCTCTTCCTTTTCCCATCCTATTATTCCTGTCTGTCACTGTGCTTACAGTGGTCCCTTAGAAGTTTAGCTGAAAACCTCTAAAGGCCTTCAAGGCACCAGAGGGCACATTTATTGGACAAAACTGGAACTTTTATTACTTTTGCGATGAATGCCAGGGTAGCTTCAGACTACCTAGATATATCTTTGCTGAGGCATGAGGCTCAGGAAGGAAGACTAGGAAATCTTAGATCTCACAAGTATTTCTGTCTTCTCTTATAGGCATTGGCTGACTCGGGTGTTGTTACCTTCCAGTCACCTGCCCCATGGGAACGGAATGAGCTGGGATCCCCCTCCCTGGGTGACCGCTCACTCAGCCTCTGTGATGGCAGTGTGAGCTGGAGTGTGTCAGCCACAATTTGAGCACCACCCTGCTTCCTCCATTGCCTCGAGGGCCTCCAAGGATAGCTTCTTGGAATCCTTGAGCAAAAAGAGCCAGTGGGCCTGCCTTACGGTACCATGCAGGGACAGCTCAAGGACCAGTCTCCTGGCCATGGCGGAAGCAAGGCATAATGTGGAAAAATCCTAGGACTGATGTTCCTTTACTCAGGCAAACAGAAGTTCCAGCCCCAGACTGGAGATCAGGCAGCTAGCAACCTTGCCAGGTACTGACCCCGACCTCCTCCAGCTTACAGCACTGGGGTTGGCTACCACCTCTTCCACTTGCCGTCTGAGAAAACACCTGAATGGTAGAGCTGAGATCCTGGCTTCTCAACAGGGCAAAGATACCAGGCCTACTGCTGAGGTCACTGCCACTTCTCATGTGCTGAAGGGAGCAAAAATAAAGGTATTTGATTTTTTAAAGATATGTAGCTTTTCACTCTTTGCTTTTCTCTTGTGGGGCGGGGAAGGGGAAAGTCAGGGTCGAGGCCTAGTGAGTGGGTGTTACGGTCCTGCCACCTCTGCCCCACTTGGAGGGGTTGGATGTCCTGAAGAATTCCTGGCCAATTCCTGTCACTACTGTTCCTCTAGCTTATGCAGTGTTGCTTCTGGTTATGTACTGCTGAGGCATAAGTGGAGAGAGGGAAATAACTGACGGCCCCATTACCAAAAGAATCTTTATTCTCCAGCAGGTACACACACGCCACCATCCCTGGTCCTCGGGGCCACGCTCATCTGTATTCACCCTCAGCAGCATATCTCACTTTTTCTGACATATAAATGGAAGAGCCCCAAGACCAAGATCATTCTTCAAACACAAGTAGTCTCACACTTAGTTACTTCACAAATCCATTAGAAGTCAGGATTCCTGTTTCTTGTACAGCCATGCGACAGAGGCCCAGCGTTTGTGCGGTGTCTGTGGGAAAGGCAATCAGAAGCCAGTCATCTCCCTGCTTTGGGCAAGATGGCTTGATAGTTAGTAATTTCAGGTTAGATTGTCAGAACAGTGTCGGCCAGGATGGAGGGCTCAGCTGCCAGGGCTCCCCAGCAGAAACCTGTAGGCAAAAAGAATGTTGACAGCATTAGTGGTGAGGCTCATTTCAGTCCCATCTCTCCCCATGACCTAAAAACTCACCATTCTCCCCTGGCTGACACTGCTTCCTTACGCACCAGTCTCTTCTTGTCATCCAGGGGTTTGGCTAAGGCCCGGATCACCTGCAGTTTGTACGGCAGCAGCTGTGCAGTTAGAGGAGCTAATCTTAGCCTTGTTCAACCAAGACAACGAAACAAGCTGCTCTGACTCTACAACTAATACTCTTCCTATTCTTCTTTAGTGATTCCAGAGAATGCTGTGTGGCAGGCTGGCCATTATATTTTAGGGTAGTCAGGAAATCCTTGCCTATCTGTACCCTACAGTGCATATCTCAGTCACACAGCAGGGTGGCCAGTCCCTCTTGACTAAGGCAGAAAGGTACCTCTGGCTCTTCTAAGAAGCTTCCAAGCCAGAGAGGGACATCCGCGGTACTCACCACGGGGGTGGGCAGGTGAGTAACAGCGTGCATACACTGCAGTGCAGCGATCCGGACAGCCTGGAACACAACCGTAAGGAGGTGAGGGGAGACCCACGAATGGGAGATGTACAGGCCAAAGAGTTGTTCAGGTTCAACGCACCATGGAAGGGCTGGAGCTGAGGTTTAGGAACTTGGTGACGAGGGTGTCAATGTGAAGACTCATTACTTGGGGTGCTTCCAGTAGAAGAGGCTGAAGACAGCTGAGGGTGGAGAGCTGTACCACAGAGTCTGGGCAGGACAGGGCCTCCAGCAGCAAGGAAAGCAGCTAAGGGGCCACAGGAAAGGTGGGATGACCACATCTTTGATGAGCCTACTTTTCCTCCCCTTTCTAGCCCCAGCTGGGGGACAATGGCTTGGTCCCTGCTTAGAGGCTGTGACCGCAAGGCTTACCGTGGGCAGCTCCGGCAAGAGCACAGGCTTTGGCAGCCTGTTAAGTACATGAGACAGACCCTTCAGGTAATTTGGCTTCACATCTGTAAAAAATGGAAAAGCTTAGGGGGAAAACTGGGCTCAGACATAGAGCTTAAGAATTCAATTCTAATCTCTGCTGAAGCTGGGACATTAGCCTACAAAAAGTTTTTTTTTTTTTAAAAAGCCCCTCAAGCTCAGAATAGCCAAGATATGCCAATCAAAGGAAAAGAGTGGGTCAAGAATCTAGATGTTCAGCGCTTCAGGTACAGGTCACACTACAGCTCTAAAGAAGCACTCAGGTCCTAAATTATTTTAGAGACTGTGGCCTGACCAATGGAGAGGTCTATATATTTGAGGGCTTTCCTTTAGACTCTCCTCACCTTGAGGAGCAGCATGGAAACCCCGGACCAAAGCAGGCACGTTATCCGTGAAGAACCGCTGGCGAAACATGATCCGCACTTCAGCATGGCCAGCACGAGTCAGCACATCAGTGCAGTCAGACATGAGCAGAGAGAAGCCATCAGCTGCTGCTGGGCCTAGTTCTGGATCACTCAGGAGGCCCATGAGCTGAAGAAAAGAGAGCCTTTGAGGTACATCAGCGGGGAAGAATCTTAAATACCCAAGAGGAGGACAGTAGTCATTTTTGGGAAGAAGAGGATCGACAGGGAAGTTCCTGTTTAGGTCCTAGGTTCTGCTGTCTTCAGCAAGGACTTACCCGGTCTGTAAGGCAGGAGCTGAGAGGATGATATCTAAGCACTAGGGCCTTTGTGACCTGTTATCAGAGAGAAAGAGAACAGTCAGGGCATGACACTTAAACCCTGAGAAGCATGCACGCGCTTCAGGGTTAAATGGAGAAATTCTTTTTAACCAGACCAACTGCTCTGTCTAACTGGAATCCATTCCAACTCCTTACCCAGAGAAGCAGTGTGAAGGCCTGACTACGATAGGGCCCAGAGCTCAGCCCAGCCTCCACTTTGTCCACAGCCAGCTGTAGGAATTCATCCAGCTGTTGCCCTAAAAAGGAGGGAGGAAATGCTGATGCAGAAGCTACACATGTCCATTTTACCAACAAAGGTGTAAATCGTTTACATGTAGAAGCCATTAGAAAAAAACAATATTGTTTTGGTTGTGGATTTGGCCCACTCAGCTCTAGGACACCAGCACGAGAGCCTGGTATTCTCATAACGTAGGGGTGCTGGCATTCGAAAAAGAGTTGTCTACTTCTAATAAAGAATTACCCCTAAGGGCTTCCCTGGTGGCGCAGTGGTTGAGAGTCCGCCTGCCGATGCAGGGGACACGGGTTCGTGCCCTGGTCCGGGAAGATCCCACATGCCGCGGAGCGGCTGGGCCCGTGAGCCATGGCCGCTGAGCCTGCGCGTCCGGAGCCTGCGCTCCGAATATCCCGCTGGCAAGGGGGTTTCACTCTTAGTACCTGAGAAATAGTATTTTGTTTTTTTATTAAAAAAAAAAAAAAAAAGAATTACCCCTAGTAGCTCTTTGTAGGGAATAGGATGACAGAACTAGATAGAGAACTCTGCTTGAAGCCCTTATCTTATGTCCTATAAAGCTTTGCCCAACTCTGGTCTTGACTCTTGTCCCACGGGCTGTCCCTTGGAAAGCCCTATTATTGATATATCAGCTAACTTCCTTTAAAAAGAGAATGAGAACTAAACGTCAAGATTTCATCAGAAGTTGATTCAGGGAGGCTCCCAACCCACAGCCTCACTCCAGTACCTGCAGGATGCTTGTTCAGAAGTCCTGCAAAGCACTTGGCAGCAGCGGTGGAGGAGAAGGGGCAGCTGTGGCAGCAGCTCAGCTCTAAAAGTTCCCGCATGAGTTGGTTCAGCTGAGGGATTTCCACCTATAGAAAACCTGGCCATGTCATGGACCCAGAGAACACTTGAACTCTAAGAGACACCCAGGAGAGAGTGGCAGCAGGGGCCAGCGTGGATGGGAAATAAATTCTCCAGTGGGAAAAGCAGAAAATCATCTTAGCTTGTGACAAATTTCAGCCCAGAAGTCACCCAGGATCCACCTCCCCTGGTCAGGGTTAAACTAGGGTACTCCTCAAATGTTGTGGTCACTTACATTTCGAGGCAGGGAGCAGACAAAGGCCATAAGCAGCGCAACCAGCCGCCTCTGCCCTGAGGAACCATCCTACAGAGGAAGAAGAGCCTTATCAAGCCTGTCCTGCTAGCAACAGGCTTGTCTGCCCTGAGGATACCCATCCCAGGTTAGCCCTAAAAATTTGAAGTCCTAAGATTCTCCCCAGTCTGATCCATCAGACCCTTACCTGGAATGGTTGAAATCTGCCAGGGAAGCTGTTTTCAGGCAGGAAGGTGATGTTGCCATCCAAGAAGAGGGGCACAATGTGGGCGACACTCTGGGCAGCCAAGCTGGGGGGAGAGCACTAGGTGTCACTGAGGAGCCAGGGCTCTACAGCAGCCCTGGGGTTCCCGGTAGTCACTGAGTCCGTGGGCCAGAGCATGATCATTCACACCTTCAACAAATACTAATTCAGGACATATGCCAGGAACCATTCCTGTTCTAGGCCTTGGTGCTACAGCAGTGAACAAGACAGATCAAATCCCTGTTCTCCTGGACCTTACGATCTAGCGAGAGAACTCAATGTGTAATTCAGAAGTGCTCCACAGGTGACTCTCATGCACATCTGCAGCTAAGAACCATTAGTCTCTGGCCCCCAGTCCATGATGCTAAAAGGCCCCTTCTTACTTTGCCAGCAAGACTTAACAAAACAAAAGCTGCCTCCATGTTTCAATCTGGATAAGAGGACAGCTCTAAAGGAAGTTATTTGCTGCTTCTTCCCAAGAATTCTGTCCTCCCTGGGATCAAGTCATATCCATGATTATACTCACTCAGGGCTCAAGTGGGTGGTGGCAGTGCCAATGACAGACACCATCGCGGCCAAGACCTCATCCTGCAACAGCACTTTCTTCAGAACTGAGTGCTCCTTCTCTGCAAAATCAAAACACACAATCACAGGCCATGACTGTGGCTCAGACGATTAGGTCCTGTCATCATCATGACTCTGGGCCTTGACTCTAGTTACAAGAAGAGCAGTTTTTAAACTGTTCTCAAGTAGTGCTGTAGCCCTGAGAAGCAGCAAGGCACCAGAAGTAGGAGTGTGTAATGCAGGCCATAGGGAGCTCCCGAGAACTTTGTGCAGTCCTTTGACTGGGCAACAGTGGAAAATAAGGCAAGCTAATATGAACATTCTTAACATCAGAAATGTTAGTCTTCAAAAACTTAAAGGTAACATGGATTTATCTTCATGGGTCCTTTTATACAGCAGCTACCACACATACATACATTACTGTTGCCAAGCACTGCACATTAACTTATTTAATCCTTACCCACTACCCTGTGATACAGATATTACTATCAACCCCATAAAGTGAGGAAACAGAAGCTTAGAAAGGCTATTTTTTTTTGTTGTTGTTGTTGCGGTACGCGGGTCTCTCACTGTTGTGGCCTGTCCCGTTGCGGAGCACAGGCTCCGGATGCGCAGGCACAGCCGCTCCGCGGCATGTGGAATCCTCCCAGACCGGGGCACGAACCCGTGTCCCCTGCATCGGCAGGCGGACTCTCAACCACTGCGCTACTAGGGAAGCCCAGAAAGGCTATCTTCATCTAAGTTGGCAAGTGGTAGAGTTGACCACGAAACCCAACCAGGTCTGCTTGACTCCAGAGCCTAATTCTAACTAATCTAATTACACAGCAACTAAAGGGGGAAAAAGTGTGCATCCTTTTGTGTGTTGCTAACACTAGTAGATTTTGGTTCCTGCCAGAGGTCAGCTTGGCACCCTCTGCTTGAAGTGAAATCTCATTATGTGGACACAGGATTCAAAAGAAGCCTCTGCTGGTACAAAATGCAATACCAGTGATACCCGGAGGGTGGCAGTGCTGTTCAACACTAGTGGAAGGCTGAGTCGGGAGGAGGGAGGGGTGAGGTGGAGGAAGTTACCTGGCATGGAAGCCTGCACAGCCAAGGCAAGCAGGCAAGGTATAGCTGTCTGATGGAAATACCAGCAGCTCTCGGGGTCTTGCTGGCATTTTTCTGCCACCTGCTGGAGACTCTGACAGACAGCAATAACTTCACTTATTCCTGCAACCGTATTCCCTGTGTGGTGAGAAAGTTCTCTGTAAGGTTTTCTTAAAAGCACTTCCAGGTCTGTCACATACAGAATATGGGAAGAATAATCGAAGATGAGTAACTAAAGAGACCAAGAGTGTCTTATAAAGAGCCAAGTCATTTTATCCAGGATCTGAGACCTGCCCAGCCAGTTCTGCAACAGAAGCATTCATACACAGCTGATTGTTGAACAAGGCGGGGGTGAGGGGAGCCAACCCTCCTGTACAGTTGAAAATCCACGTGCAAGTTATAATGGTCCCTCTTTACACAGTTCCTCCATATCTGCAGTTCTGCATCTGTGGACTCAACCAACCACAAGCATATTGTACTATAGTTTTTACTACTGAAAAAAATCTGTATATGTGGACCTGTGCTGTTCAGACGTGTTTTGTTCAAGGGTCAGCTGTACATTCTCATTTAGTTTTCATAACAACTCTCTTAGAAATATAATTTCCCCCATTTTATAGAGGAGGATGTGGAGGCTCAATAAATTACCAGTGGTTTTTCCAGGGTAACAGTGAAAAAGTCAGGAATCAAACCCAGGCCACGCTCTGAGTCCAGTGTTCTTTCTACTTCACATCAGGTGCTGGATCATCCACAAAGGGCCGGGCAGTGCAGAGTGGGGCACTTAGGGAATTAGTGAGGTTCCATGGTGTGCACGCACAGGTTCACAATAGCAATAGCTGCTGTCACTTATGTCACTTATGAGGGGCAGTGCTTCTCAAACTCCAGGGTATGTACAGGTTACTTGGAGATCCAGTTAAAATGCAGATTCTGATCAGTGGCGCCTGAGATTCTGCATTTCTAATAAACTCCCAGATAATACCCGTGCTGCTGGTTGATGAACCCTATTTTGAGTAGCTTGGCCTTACAGTGGTGCTTTTCTTTTCTTAAAAATTTTATTTATGTTTTTATTTTTGGCTGCGTTGGGTCTTCGTTGCTGCACGCAGGCTTTCTCTAGTTGCGGCGAGTGGGGGCTACTCTTTGTTGCGGTGCACGGGCTTCTCATTGCGGTGGCTTCTCTTGTTGCAGAGCACAGGCTCTAGGTGCGTGGGCTTCAGTAGTTGTGGCGCACGGGCTCAGCAGTTGTGGCTCACAGGCTCTAGAGTGCAGGCTCAGTAGTTGTGGTGCATGGGCTTAGTTGCTCTGCGGCATGTGGGATCTTCCTGGACCGGGGCACAAACCCGTGTCCCCTGCATCGGCAGGCGGACTCTCAACCGCTGCGCCACCAGGGAAGTCCCCAGTGGTGCTTTTCAATGGACTCCGTGGGCGTTCTTAATAACTGTTGCCCAAGTCTCATCCCTCCTCAGAGGCTGAATCAGTTGGACTGACTAAGACCCACGCATTCAGCACTTTTTAAAAGTTCCCATGTGACTCTTACTATAGCCACCACTGGAACCACTGCTTTAGAGGCATCAACTCCAAACCTGACTATGGTTCCCCCTTCAGCCCAGTTCCTTGATGACTGTTCCTGGTAGTTACCTTTGTTCATCTGGCGGAGATGCTGCAGCAGAAGAGGCAGGGTCTCCTTGACAATACTGGCATGTGTGGATATAGCTGACAAGGCTTGCAGACAGCGCCGATGCCGGGAGCATTTGGTGGGCCCATCCCCTCTAGCCAAATCTGACTCCTCTGAAAGCAACCCAGGAGACAAGGTTTCACTGTGTGATGGCAAGCATGAAGGCCCCCAAGCCTCCCTGGGAAGGGGTAAGCCACGGAAGATCAGAGACACATACCTATACACAGCTCCCCAGCAAGCTTGGGCACTAGGTGGCTGCTGAAGGCCACAGGGTAGAGAGTAGCCAGGGTTCCTGATGCTTCCAGTGCTGCCACCCTGCTGGGGCACAAGGCAGATGAGCATTAGCTGAGCCTTGATCCATGGCTCTCTTGCTTAGGCCTGCCATTAGGCAGATTCAGGAATGTGGGCTTCTGAGGCCACCTTGCTGAAGAGTAGGATTCCAGTACTTACACCACTAAGTTGGACCGGGCTTCTTAATACCCAAGAAAAGAGAGCATTCCCACACCTCCAACCGGGTAGCAGCCAGAGCCAAGCACAGGGCCCACCTCCCCTACGGAAAGCCAAGGGTCAGAAGCACAGAGCCCTGGAACAGTTTGCTCGATCTCACTGCCTTATATTCTCACCAACTCTGGGAATCCTCCTCCAGGAAGCTCAGTCTGTATAGGTGACCCACTGCCAGCTCCAAGTCCCCAGAAGACAGGAGATCTGTGTAGGAAGGAAACACGAACCTCATCTTTCTTCCCCTGCAGCCATCACAACCCTTCCTAAAGTCCTATAAGAAGTCCCAAATCATCCAGAGTTGTAGTGAGAACCAGGGAATTGAGATTGCTCTTCACTTAAGACAGAAAATCACAAGAAAGGGACCAATACTCCTATCTTTTCTCTTTTCCTTAAGCGTACCTGGCTGGGCACCCAAGACTGTGAGTGTACGGATGCTAACAAGCTGAAGCTGGGTGCTGGGGTCTGTCAGGGCCATGAATACCAGTGAGCACAGCTGGTCCTTGAAGCCACTCAGAGGCCTTTCATCTAGGAAGAGACAGAGTCCAGGTTAGAGGGAAACCCTATTCAGAACTCATGCAAAGATAACCTGGGACAGATTTTTTTTTTTTTTGCCGTGCTGCGTGGCATGTGGGATCTTAATTCCCTGACCAGGGATCGAACCCTTGCCTCCTGCGGTGGAAGCACAGAGTCTTAAGCACTGGACCGCCACGGAATTCCCGGGGCAGATTTAAAGAATTTAATCCATTGGGTATCTGGGACGTACACTAGGAAAGAAATCAACAGGCCTCAACTGTTAAGTGTTCTCTTGGGCTACATCCTCAGAACAACAGGTCCACTGTTCTAGACTACTTCTCTGTAGCGCTCTTTGCCTGCCATCCTTTATAGGGCTATAGTGCTCAGCAGCCCCCAGGATACCACATCTAGTAGATGGCCTCACCCTTGTCTTCATAGCTCCATTTCTGTTGCAGCTTCAAGAAACCCAGGATCATTTCAAGGATTGTCCGCCGCTGGTTGCTCTGTAATGTTTTAAGGGGTATTCAAGTCTAAAAATACTTTATTTTTAAAGGATTTCAGTCCTGCTACTGCAGAATTGGGGAGAATTATCCTTGTACATAAGAGTGTCAGGAAAAGAGTGAACAAGGGAACCAGCAGCAGCTAATGGGAGCAAAACCCGAGATCTACTATATCTAGGCCCAAGCTCAATGCTTAGCGCTCTCTCTGTGAGACAGCGATCCTGGCAAGGGGTCCCATCATTTCCCCAACAGATTCTGCTTCCTTACCTGACTGTGCTTGTGGAACTGTTCCAGCAGTAGGGGCAGCACGTTGCTGGTGATGTGGTCACAGGCCCGGGCAGATGCACCTGCAGCCGCCTGCAACAGTTTGGCACTAGGCCACACCAGTTTCATGTCTGGTTCACACAGATGGTGCCTGCAGTCTAGAGAGGCAGCACATCACAGACCTAGGGAGTAGGCTGAATGTTGCCTGGTTCCCCTGCAGGCCATAGAAGTTGGAGGCTGAGCCCTGGGACAGTTGGCTAGCAGTTACCATTTAAATTGCTTTCAATTCAAAGCAGGGCTCCAGCACCGAAATCACTGAACATGGGGGCCACTCATGAAAGGTCACTGGCCTTAAGGAATTTCTCTGTTGTGCTCACTCCCCTTTCTAGCTGCCATGGCCCCATTACCCTGTAGAATGTTGCTAAGGAAGGAGTCAAGGAGGTCCTCAGCATCAGCCCTCAGCACAGAGCGAGACAAACACGCAGTCAGGGAGTTAAGGGCTGCCAGGCCCTCGGCCTCTACCCGCTCACTTGCCGTCTGGAACACCTGTCAGGGAGGGATCCCATGGCTACTGAGGTGAGCCTGCACCAGGTGAGACCCCGCCCACCTACTGCCTATTTCCTTTGCGGGGAGGGGGCGGTGAGAACCTTTGGGGCACAGCAATGGAAATTAACCCCCCAAATGAGTTTCTTCTCAATTGGTGTATTCTCACTAAGTCCTCAGTCCCACTAGGATTGATACACATAATTTTTGAGAAACTGAATACGACTTTGAGCAGTGGTTGTTGGGAACCCCTTTCCTAAGTCTCTTCCTCTCCCCCTCTACTCAGCATGACCTATGCTCCTTACGATGGAAGGACAGGAATTGGGCACTGTGCGAGACTGATCGTGTGCCACCACTAAACAGCTGACCCTACCCTTGTCATTCAACTAAAAGTATGCCCCCTTGCTCTCTTGCTGAATAACCAAGCACAGCAATAGAGGGAAAAGGATAAGGTGTGTTATTTCCCCTCGTGCCTGACAACCAGGAGTTAATGGTAGTGAGTTTATCTAAGTAACACTCACCTCTCTGCGGATAGAAGCCCAAAGGCTGGGGAGGAAGTCCTTTAGTTCTTTCTGTCCGTACACAGCACAGCAAGCATTCTGCCAAGGAAAGCACAGGTAATGGCTATCTACACACTCAGACTTCCTAGGATATGCAGGCCCCTCAGCATAATGGCACCTGAAAGACCCTGGCTCTCAGCAGTAAAACCAGCAGGATTTCATAACCATCCTACCCAGGTCACCGAAAAATAGGAGCTTGTCCTGACTGATGGAAAACAAGCATGAAGCGGGAGCCCTGGTCAGCCTTTCCTCAGCTGCCACTCGATTACTACAGAACAAGACAAAATGCAACTGGGGGCTTTAGGTCAACATATAGGCCTGGATTCTGGGTATCCCTCTCTTGAGGCCAATGAACTATTCCCTGGCTCTCCAAGAATCAATTCATAATCCTTTAGCACCCCTAAATTGTCTAAAGACAGCTGGATCCTCAAAAGAGAACAATCACTCACCAGAGTCTGCAGAGAATCCAGTTTGGCACTCAGAATCTCGGAATCCACTTTCTCAATCAGCAGGGGGAGCAGGAACTGTGGGAGAGAAGGAAGAACTAAAGAGTGAGATATGGGTAGTGTTGTAGCCACACCAAGGCCAACCATGTCCTCACTGCCACCAGTTCCCAGGGGTAGGTGTTACATCAAGGAGCTATACTCGAGTCGAGAGTTGTGACTGTAAACCAACTTCCCTCTCAATCCATGGCCAGACTCCCAGTGACCTGAGAAGTGGGCTAGCTGGCAAAGCTAAAGAATTTCAAAAGATAGCACCAAATAGGGATTGGTTTACTATTTTAAATGAAGAGATGGTGAAGTTTTTTACTTCGAAGGTCTGAAGACACCTGCAAGATGCCATCCCCTAAAATGTATACTGGAACTTTCTTTCCCCCCATGCTTTTACTGTTTTTTCTTCAGATCCTTCTGTGGGTTGAGGCTACATATCCTAACTTTGGCTAGACCCACCTCAGCAAATCGCGGTGTATAAGCCAGCACAGCTCGAAGACTCAGGATGAGATCTTCTCTCTGGATACCATGGGGATCATTAGGTGGCTATAAAAGGGAGAAGGGGGCGTGAGCTTGTATAACTCTTCAGACCACCCCTGGACACAGGAGTGAATGTGGCAACCCTGCAGAATAGGGTGAGATTTATACCCAATCTGGCAGAAGTTTATGGTATGAGGCCCCAGCAGGAAGACTGCTTGCTCTTACATGTTCCTTGGGAATTTTTGTCTGTTGGGCATTTATTTTCTATCTGATCACACAGTTTCCATCTGATCTATCATCTCACCATTCAGAGATAAGCACCCTTAACTTTCTGGTGCAAGTTTCTTCTTTGTATATATAGTATTATGACTATGTGATTGGTAGACACTGTTTCTCTGTAAAATATATACACTTTTTAAAAATGTGACCTTTTGAATATATTTTCTGCAATCTATTTTTTCACTTAATACTAGGTACATTTTTTCATGTTATTAAATTATTTTTTCATAGCATTAGTTTTAGTGGCTGATACTATTTCATTGTGTGGTTGAGTCACAGTTTATTTGGATAATCACCCTTTGATGGACATTTCTATTTTTTTACCATTATAAAAAGCTGTAGGGCTTCCCTGATGGCGCAGTGGTTGAGAGTCCGCCTGTCAATGCAGGGGACACGGGTTCGTGCCCCGGTCCGGGAGGATCCCACATGCCGCGGAGCGGCTGGGCCTGTGAGCCATGGCCACTGAGCCTGCGCGTCCGGAGCCTGTGCTCCGCAACGGGAGAGGCCACAACAGTGAGAGGCCCGCGTACAGCAAAAAAAATAAATAAATAAAATAAAAATAAAAAAAAGCTGTAATTCCGGCATTATAAAAACTTTCATGATTTCTGTGTCAAGAATGCAGATTTTTTTTTTATTGAAGTATATAGTTGACTTACAATACTGTGTTAGTTTCAGGTGTACAGAAAAGTGATTCACTTATATACATATATATATTTTTCAGATTCTTTTCCACTATAGGTTATTATAAGATACTGAACATAGTTCCCTGTGTTATACAGTAAATCCTTGTTATCTATTTTATATATAGTGGTATGTATCTGTTAATCCCATACTCCTAACTTACTCCTCCTCACCTTTCCCCTTTGATAACCATAAAGTTTGTTTTCTATATCTTTGAGTCTGTTTCTGTTTTGTAAATAAGTTCATTTATATTACTTTTAGATTCCATATATAAGTGATATCATATAATATTTATCTTTCTGTCTTACTTTACTCAGTATGATAATCTCTAGGTCCATCCATGTTGCTGCAAATGGCATTATTTCATTCTTTTTTATGGCGGAGTAGTATTCCATTGTGTGTGTGTGTACATACACACACACACACACACACACACACACACACGCACCCCCCCCCCAACATCTTTATCCATTCATCTGTTGATGAACGTTTAGGTTGCTTCCATGTCTTGGCTCTTGTAAATAGTGCTGCTGTGAACACTGGGGTGCATGTATCTTTTCAAATTAGAGTTTTCATCTTTTCTGGATATATGCCCAAGAGTGGTATTGCTGGATCATATGGTAGCTCTATTTTCAGTTTTTTAAGGAACCTCCATACTGTTTCCCATAGTGGCTGCACCAATTTACATTCCCACCAACAGTGCAGGAGAGTTCCCTTTTCTCCACACCTTCTCAAGCATTTATTATTTGTCGACTTTTTGATGATGGCCATTCTGACAGGTGTGAGGTGATACCTCATTGTAGTTTTGATTTGCATCTTTTCATGTGCCTGTTGGCCAAGTGTATGTCAAGAAGGCACACTGAAAACATACATCAGATTTTCCTTTTCTCTTTAGAAATCCCACCAAAAATACAGTAAAGGGATTTTCCTTTCTTTTCTTTTTTTTTAAAGCTATAAAGCTAAAGGTTGACGAGAACAGGATAAGGGATGTTAGCAACAAAACTGCAGAAGGTGAAAAGCAGATGGATAAGAAGAAAATGACTTAGCAGAGCCAAGATAACAGAATCCTCAGTAGGCTTGGGGAATGCTGAGTAACTCCCCATATACATCAGTCTCCTCAAAAGGCTTCACAACCAGAAGTACCAGGTACCTTTGGAATTGGGAGTGGGGTTCGAGAAGCAATCTGACCTCCGAGATTGCTTCTCAAGTCCTCCCTAGCTGCAGTAGAATCTGGAGGTTTAATTCTTTAGCGAGGGTAAGACAGAGGTCTAGTCTTAGAGACGTAGGTGCAGCTGAGGGCCTGGGTGCTGAATCAAAAGAGGTCTAAGTGGGAATTCCCTGGTGGTCCAGTAGTTAGGACTCAGTGCTTTCACTACCAGGGCCTGGGTTCAACCCCTGATTGGGGAACGGCACGGCAGGAAAAAAAAAAAAGAGGTCTGAGTAATACAGTTTTGAGTATTGAGATTTTCCAACTCCTTCCAGCCCTATTTGCTTGTAGCCAGACTTCTCCCTCTAGGCTGATCTAACGTCTTTTTCTAGAAGAACCTGACTAGCCCAAGAGGAAGAATACACTGGGGGTTCCCAAGCTGTCCATGTAAGCCACTATACAGAGAAGTTCATCCTCAGCCAGCCCATTCCCTGTGCTCAGAGCTCCCACTCAATGTTATAATTCTCACTTTGAAACATGTGCAAACTCCCAAGGATTACCAGATATCTGAAGAAAGCCTCTAACCTGGAAATAGAGACCAAAAACAAAAAAAAAAACTTGGAGGAAACAAAGATCACATATGTGGGGAGAGTTTTCAAAAACAGTAAGAAAGTAATTCATTCATGGATTAAATAAGAACAGAATGTTAAAGAAAAAAAGACCACCAGTCTTAACCTGGTGGTCCAGCAGTTAAGACTCCGAGCTCCCAATGCAGGGGGCCCGGGTTCGATCCCTGGTCAGGGAACGAGATCCTGCATGCCGCAACTAAGAGCCTGCATGCCACAACTAAAAGATCCTGCATGGTGCAACTAAAGATCCCGCATGTGGCAACAAAGATCCTGCGTGCTGTGACTAAGACCCAGCACAGCCAAATAAATAAATATTTAAAAAAACAAAACAAAAGACGTTCAAGAGATCATCAAAAATGACAATAAAAGGCCCTGGGAAAATGGATAAAGAAGATGTGGTACATATATACAAAGGAATATTACTCAGCCATAAAAAGGAATGAAATTGGGTCATTTGTAGAGACGTGGATGGACCTAGAGAGTGTCATACAGAGTGAAGTAGGTCAGAAAGAGAAAAGCAAATATCGTATAATAATGCATATATGTGGAATTTAGAAAAATGGTATAGATGATCTTATTTGCAAAGCAGATATAGAGACACAGATGTTGAGAACAAATGTATGGATACAAAGGGGGAAAGGGGTGGGGTAGGAGGAATTGGGAGACTGGATTGACACATATATATTATTGATACTATGTATAAAATAGACAACTGATGGGAACATACTGTATAGCACAGGGAACTCTACCTAATGCATTGTGGTAACCTAAATGGGAGGGAAGTCCAAAAGGGAAGGGGATATCTGTATGTGTACAGCTGATTCATTTTGTTGTGCAGTGGAGGCTAATACAACATTGTAAAACAACCATACTCCAATAAAAATTAATTAAAAAAAAAAAAGGTCCTGGGAAATTCAAAGCATGAGAGCAGAAATGAGGAACAAAATCAATAGAAGGGGTTAATAGCAGATGTGCTAGTCCTGGGCCTTTCTGCCCTCAGAGCCATTCCTTGGGCTGACCACTGCAGGCTGCATTTCCCAGGCTCCCATAATGGCCTGTGTTCAGCCAACAGGAAGCACTTGTAGAAGAATGCAGGTCAGAAGGAAAGGAAAACCCAGGGCATTTCTTCCCATTTCTCCAATTTAGTGGGCGCTTTCAGCACTGGCAGCATCTCCTCCATGGCTCCAGCTCCTACTGCTAGGCCTATGTTTTTGTCATACTCTCAGCCCCTGAGGTCCAGTAACATCAGCTCTTCCCTTTGTCCCTCCAGCCTAGGGGTGATAATGGCTTCCTGCTATTGACAGGTTGCCTCACTATCCCGTTTGGCTTCTCAGCTTTCCCATAACTTGTATAAACAATTTCCTGCATTAAATTATTTGTTTTAAATACCAAAGTGGTTTCTGTTTTCATGCCTGGACTTTGACTGACAGAAAAGATAAAATTGTAGAATTTTCTTATAAACTAACAAAAAGGTAGAGGTAAGAAATATGAAAGTAGGAGATCCAGAGGTCTAACAGAAGACTGATAGGAGTTCCAAAAGGAAGGAACAGAGAAAACAGAGGGAAAGAAATCATCAATGAAAGAATGCAAGAAAATTTCCCAGGACTGAAGGACATGAGTTTCCAGATTGATGGGACCTACCAAGTACCCAATACAATGCATGAAAGCAGACCTGTACTAAGGCACATAATTGTGAATTTTCGATATATTGGGGGAAAATAATCAAAACTTAAAAGCTTCCAGAAAAGAGGAAAAAAAGTGACCATAAAGTTTTGCAAATCAAAAAGAATTTAGACTTCTTCACAGCAACTAAAAATTAGAGGTAAATGTAGCAATGCCTTCAATTTCATACCCATATTGTCAATAAGTGGGAGGAAAGAATGAAGACATTCTAGATTTACAAAAATCTAAATGTTTCACTCTTTTTACACACTGGGGAAGCTAATAAGGGATGTGCACCACCAAAATGAGGGAGTAAACTATAAAATAGGAAGTACATAAACCCAGGAGGTAAGAGATCCGATCCAAGAGAAAAGACAAAGGAATCCCTAGATGATGGTAAAGGAAGATTATCTACTCTGCATTAAGAGTAGGAAGCAACCAGTTAAGACTGTATGGCCAAGTTAAGAATGGTTTTTACATTTTTAAGTCATTGAAAAAAAAATCAAAAGAATAGTATCTTGTGACACATGAAAATTATATGAAATTTAAATTTCCGTGTCCGTAAATAAAGTTTTATTGCAATATAGCCACTGTACCACATTCCAGTGTCTATGGCCATTTTTGTGCTAGAACAGCAGAGGTGAGGAGCTTCAACAGAGACCATATGGCCTGCAAAGTCTAAAATAGTAACTATCTGGCCCTAACAGAAAAAGTTTGCTGACCCCTACACACAGGATAGGAACCATCACTTATACTGATGTGATCCACTATGAGGATGGCAAATGGCCAAAACAGATTGGTAAGACCATAAAGAATATTTCTAACATAAATTGTTACACTAAAAGCCAGGTGTCCCTATTTAAAAGGCTTAAGTTCTTCTGAGAAGAAACAGTGATACTGATTACAAAAGAGATGAAAGGAATATCAGAGAGGCGGTCCCAAGCAATTGATGTCAAATAGAATAAGCTGGTTAAGAAATTCCCTATGGCAAAAATGGCTGTGTATCTTTAAAGGCAGTGAGAGTCCAATGCAGTTTGGTATGCTGTGGTATAACTCCTTTCATTTTTTCCAAATCACTAATGCTTGCAGTACACATACCCATGCATATCCATATAGTGATGAGACCCTGAGTATTTGGAAAAAGAAGGAAAATCAAGATGCAGAGTGGGAGGAAAGTCCGAGGGCATCAGAGCAAACACCTCCTGTACACACTATGCTCAACTGTGTCGTCTTTGTTTAGTCAATTTGTTTCTACTTCCTGAGATGCACCCTCAGAATCCAGGATCATATCCTACACATCCTTCAGAAACCAACAGAAATCCTATCTTATCTGTGAAGTAAGTTCCTGCCTACTCTAGCTCACACTAAACTCTGTCTTCTTTGAACAATTATAACACCACTTGTTTTGGTCCACAATCTCTTACTGTTACTTAAATGTTTCAACTTTCAAGGACATGAATCATGTTATACAATCCTGTAGTTCGAAGCACTACATACTTTGTCAAGGAGTCTCCCAAATACCTGCCGAACTGAACCCTTCCTCCCACGGCAAATGTTTTTCCACTTCCCAGTTTACTAAAACGTTAAGTTCTTGAGGGCAGGGATTGTTTCTTTTATTCACCGCTGCACCCTCAGGGCCTAGAACTGGGCCTGGCACATAACAGACACTCGACAAATATTTGAATGAGTGAATGAATGAAAGGTACTACTTACAGGGGTAAAATCAATAGGGAAGTAACAGGATGTCACTTCAAACAACTCCTCCACAAAGGGTCCTAAGACAACAGAGAAAGAATGAGGACTTATAAGCCTCTCATCTGACAAGCCCCAACCAGCTAATTCAAGGCTACGAGGGTGTACCCAGGCTATAGTCTCTGGAGATGAGGTCATGGACGATGCGGAAGGCCACCAGAAGATTACGGGGATCCTTTTCCCCATCCATCACCTGGATGAAGCCAAAGGTGAAATCAGCTCCTAGGCCCTTCAGCTCTGCGGAGGAGAGAACAAGATCATTACTGTCCCATGGGATAGAAAGCTGGGCTTTCTTCTGGCCTGTGTTCTCCCTCTGCTATCACTGCCTTTCCTGCCTACCAGAGCAGGCCCTTTCTGTTTTCCTATTCCAAGAGAGTTCTCAGTGAAGAGATGTGCAACAGTACATAATTGTTACAGAGGTAAGAATTTAAAACATCAGCTCAAACTCCACCTTTTCTTTACTTTCCTGGGGAGTGAGTGGCTCCCAGTTTCCCTTTATCATCCTCTCAAAGTACTGGCTCTTCTACATCACCCCTGAGCTAAAATGAGTCCTGGTAATGGGGGAAAAAAAAGATGTGCTCACTTTTCAGATTTTCCAGAGAGCCCTGCCTCTTACCTTCTTCCCGGGTTCGCATGAAGTTGGTGATGATACTGTAGACTGTGTGTCGGTCCACCTGTGGCAGGGACTTGGTAGGAGAGACAGGAAGTAAGTAAAGAAAGTGCCCAAAGAATACCTCAGCTGACAAAACTACTTCCTGCTTCACAACCTCTAAGTGGACACCGCTCTTTACACCAGTACACGATGAACCTCAGAGGAAACGTAGAGAAAGGATATGGCTATTGCCCAGCAGTCCAGCAGTGGAACCAATAACCAAAACCTGTATGCCTTACTTTAAGTGTAAGAGGACACAGGTCAGACATAATGGCATGCCTCGCTCTCCTTATACAGTAGCAAGGGATAGCATGTGAACATGGTCAAAGACCTGAAAGAGTTCAGAACTTAGAAGGCAATTTTTTTTGCCATCTAATTCTAGTTATGTCAATGGCTGGGAGATAGAGGAGAAGACCAAGGTGACTGTTATCACTCACCTGTACGTGGACCTCCTGGAAGATGGCTTTAAGCACGGAGACAGCCAGCCCTGGGGGCAGGGCCACACACAGGCTCTGGGGGAGAAGAGAAGTGTGAGCACAGAGGGAATTCTGGGAATTCTAGCACAGCCTTCAAGACACAAGCCTAAAACAGGGCTATTTAGCTACAGTGGGAATCACAATATCCAGGTTTGGGAAGAAGTGCTAACAGTGAGATACATGGTCCCTTTTCTCAAGTTGATTAGGTCTCTGCAGCTCCTTCCAGTTTGGCTTTGAATTCCAGTCCCCAAAGGATACTTTTACTCTAAAACTAAAAACAGAAGTGGAGCTGGCTGAGACTAGTTTAGTCCCACATGTGGGCATCTGCCTTGAAGCACTTGAAGTCTCACCCTCTAAGGGGAAGGAGAGAATTCACCGGAAATAGGTTCCTGCAAACATGGTATGTAATACAAAAAAGAACTCACAAGTGCCCTCAAACCCTGCAGGACAGATGGGATCACAAGATGATGGTCCTTCAGCCGGTTTTCATAGAATAGGATCAAGTGTACCACTGCACAGACCAGAAATTCAGCCGTTAGTTTACACAGGCTGGAGGAGGGCCCACCAGCTTTGCTCCTTCCCAAAGTTTATAAGGGCTGTTCCTGCTTGGGCTTCACTACAAATTTTCTCCTTCACTGAGAGATATGTCCCAAGCCCTCCCATTTGAGGGTGACTTCCTTGCTCTGTCAGGAAAATAGGTGAACATCTTTTATTATCCATTCTCACTAGGTCACAATCAAACCCATTCTCAAGCCGAGAACTGCCTTTCTACAGAACTTGGGTTGGCAAATTTTCTCAAAGGGCCAGACAGTAAATATTTTAGGCTTGCAGGACATAGTATGTCAAAACTACTCAACTGGGCCACTGTAACATAAAAGCAGCATACACAATAGGTAAATAAATGGGCAAGGCTAGATGCTAATAAAGCTTTATAGAAGATAAATAAGTTGTTGGCTTTTTTCCTCAGGACTTCAAAACACTTTGATATTTCATTACTTTTCCACTCCATCTATGAAACACTACTTTGTCCATTTTACAAAGAAGGGAAGATATACTGAAAAATACTGTCTAAGGCTACATTTGAAATCCATGTGTCTTGTGTCTCAATTCTTATCTTCTCTGCCACATATACCAGTGAGGAATGAAGACCCTGAATTAGGAGTTCACAGATACCTTATGTCCTCCCTCCCTCCCTGTAAAGTTGGCTTGAATAGACAAGCAAGGCCTTGGCTCAGCACTCCTACTAGCGATGCCAGTACCTTCCTTCTCCAGGAGCAAGGAGTGACACTGCAGTAGCACCTGTGACAAGAGCTGGATTCCTCGTGCCCGAGTTCGGGGTTCTGGATTCTCTAGAGAGGACCTGGCGTAAAGTAAGATAGAGACAGCCTGACATTACCCAGTTCAAACTTTTGAAGTAAATATTTTGCAATTAGTCACACTCACCCCCTGGGCATGGAAGCCAGCCCAGGAAGGTATTCTGGAGGTGCTTAGCATTACAGACAACACTAAGGCCAATCCCCAGATTGACCTGGCATCATTAGAGGCATATGTGACACCACAGCCAACAGAAGTGTCCATCTCCAGGCACTGACTGGGCATGGGGCTTACTCCTTCTCATACAACTGTGACATTCCTCTGAAATAGAACTTAGCAGCTAACCACAGGGCTCAAGAGATGACTGGCAGCTGCAGCTTCTACCAAAACAGGAGGAGAATAAATATATCACTGTTAAAGCAACCACTACAGTCTTAGGGACCACATCGTCTTTATAACTGGAAGACCATTATGGTCTTTATAATTGGAAGTTTACAAAGTAAGATGGTCAGAGTAAAGGTTTTAACTATTTAGGATTATTGATATGGGAGGACCTAGGATGAAGCAACAAGGAGGTGATTTATCTTCAAAACAACTCACATTTAGACATACCAGAAGGAATCTAAGTAAATGCAGGAGGTAGAAGACTTCTGAAGGAGAACTGGCCAGGATACATGAATGAAACCTCAAGGTTAAGAGTATCTATAGCTAGGGGTAATGGGGTAAAAAGAAGCTCACTCTTGACAGGATCCTTAGGACAGGAACTTACAGAAAGGTAGAAGTAGAAAACTGTGCATTTAAAAATGGACCAAGGCACACAAATGCTCATAGCAGCATTATTCAGAATAGCTAAAATGTGGAAACAACTCAGATATCCCTCAACTGATGAATGGTTAAACAAAATGTGGTATATCCATATAACAGAATATCGTTCAGCAAGAAAGGAAGTACTGATACATGCTACAACAGGGATGAACTTTGAAAACATTATGCTAAGTGAAAGAAGCCAATCACAAAGGTTACATATTACTGTATAATTCCATTTATATGAAATTTTCAGCATGGGCAAATCTACAGAGACAGAGTAGATTAGTGGTTGCCAGGGGCTAGGAAGAGAAAGGAATGAGGAGTGATTGCTAATGGGTGTGGGGTTTCTCTTTGAGGTGATGAAAATGTCTTAAAACTGACTGTGATAAGGGTCTTACAAATCTGTGAATACATACTTTAAAATGGTGAACTTTATGATACATAAATTGTATCTCGATAAAACTGTTATTTAAAAAAAAAAATGGACCAAGGCCACAACATGAGGAGAAAGGCCAAAAGATCTCTTATGTGGGAAAAATGCATAATAGTGACCCACTCCCCCACCCTCTCCCCAATTTTCTAGCTTTTTCTGTTTTAGAAGACATGCTAGCCATGACAGTTAACAACCTACGCTAATTTAAATGTCAATTTAAATGGTCTACCAAGTATGAAATATGAGGAAAGCAGACATTAGACTACGAGCATATAGTTCCTCTGGAGCTTGGAATATCTGGTGGTAACACTGGTCTTCCAGCTGTTTTTCCAAGCCTTTTCCTATAGTGGGGAACCTGGTGCAAGGTCAGCCTCTTGACCACTCCCCAGGCTGGGCTCACAGCAGGTCTGAGTCAGATGTAGGCTGACTAGAATCCTATGGGGAGGGTGGGTCTAAAGAAGCAGAAGAGGAATCCCAGCTCTAATTAACTAACAGTTGATGGCTTTCAACCACCCGTCTCAGCCTAAACCTGTAGGCTGACCCAGGAGCTAATGTGACCCACAGGCGGTGTTCCCAACACTTCCTTAGGGGCCTCAGTCAGGTGGCAAGAAATCATTTTTCAGGAGAAACACTGGCTTAACCTGAGGTACTGATATGGGAGGGGGAGGAGGGTGTTGGGCTACAGTAGGAGAAATTCAGGACAAAATAACTTTTTCAGAGTGCAGCGCCAGGGCTGGAGACTGGTATTCTAGAGCAGAGGCTCTTACCCAAGGGCTTCCACCACTTGTAACACCGTATAGCTTCCAGATTTCACATCTAAAGGAAAGAAGAAAAAGAAACCTGAAAAAACAAAAATAAAACTCCATCCCAGGGTTCAATGGCTCTAATTACCAATGTTTTTGCCTACCCTAGGTCTTACACCATGGGGCCCGCCGTGCTTGCCAATAGCCTCTCCTACATGAAAAGCATTTCTGTAACACTTCAAGTATGCAGCTCCAAGTATAAAAATTGAAAAGAAAGTCAATATATCATTTGCAGGTAACCTGTTTATCTAGAAAATCCAAGAGAAATAAATGAAAAAAATACTACAAACAAAATAATTCATTAGGGTGGCTAGGTACAAAATTAATATGAAATTAAGAACTTTCACATACATACATACAGTAGCCTGAAAAATTATATAAAGGAAAAAAGAGCCTATTTACAATAGCAACAAATAAAAATTAAAAAAGAGAGAAAGAGAGAGAAAATACCTAGATATAAACCTAACAAAAAATGTGAATATCTGGGGACTTCTCTGGTGTCTCAGTGGTTAAGAATTTGCCTGCTAATGCAGGGGACACAGGTTCAATCCCTGCTCCAGGAAGATCCCACATGCCATGGAGCAACTTAACCCGTGTGCCACAACTAGTGAGCCTGCACTCTAGAGCCTGAGAGCCACAACTACTGAGCCCATGCGCCAAAACTACTGAAGCCCATGAGCTCTATGGCCTGCGTGCCACAACTACTGAGCCCACGTGCTGCAACTACTGTAGCCCACGCGCCTAGAGCCTGTGCTCCACAACAAGAGAAGCCACCTCAATGAGAAGCCCACGTGCTGCAACAAAGAGTAGCCCCTGCTCGCTGCAACTAGAGAAAACCTGCAAGAGCAACAAAGACCCAACGCAGGCAAAAAAAAAAAAAAAAAAATATATATATATATATATATATATAAATGTGAATATCTGAATGGTGAAAACTTTAAAGAACCACTGAGAAAGTTACTGTGTAAAAAATAATACATAATTAGACAGGTAAATTCTGAAAAAGAGCAATGAGGGAGGGAGGGAAGGCAGTTCTTCCAGATAGTAAAAGATTGTTATAAAGTCACAGTAATTAAAATACTGTATAGTTTTTTGTTTTCTTGGGGTTTTTTTTGGCGGTACGCGGGCCTCTCACTGTTGTGGCCTTTCCCGTTGCAGAGCACAGGCTCTGGACGTGCAGGATCAGCAGCCATGGCTCACGGGCCCAGCCGCTCCGCGGCATGTGGGATCTTCCCGGACCCGGGCACGAACCCATGTCCCCTGCATCGGCAGGCGGACTCTTAACCACTGCGCCACCAGGGAAGCCCATAAAATACTGTATAGTTTTGAATATACTTTATGTTTTCCATAATAAAAGTAAAAAATAAAAAATAACCAGTGTAGTATGAGTTCATATTCAAAGAAATCAATGGTACAGAAATAGAACAGCAAATCCAGAAAGAGACACGAATACATGAGACTATGATTTTAAAAATCATATTTCAATTAATGAAAAACAGACTATTCAATAAATGGTGTTGGCATGATTGGGTAAATATTTGAAACAAACAAACAAACAAAAAAACCAATGGCTCTGAATCTTTCACCAAAGTAAATTTCAAATGGATTAAAGAAAAAAACACACGAGAACATTTCTAAGTATAACATAGTTATATTTAGCCATAAAAGAAAAGATTGGTTAAAATCAGCTACATTTAAAAAAAATTGGATTTTCTGCAAGGCAACAACAAACATCATAAGACAAACTGGGAAAAAATATTTGCAATTCTTATAACAAAGGGCTATTTTACCAATATAAAAAGCATTTCTACAAGTCATTGAGAAAAAAGACCAACAACCAATTTAAAAAGATGCTCAACCATATTAACAACAGGAATGCAAATTCAACTCCCCAAAACGCTGGTTTTTAACATACTAGACTGGCAAAGATCAAACATTTTGTATCACGCTTATGTTTGGTAATGGTGCGTGGAATTAAGGCACTCTTAAACACTGTAGGTGGAGTAAAAATTGGTACTGCCCTTTTATGGAGCACCCCCCCCCCCCTTTTTTGGCCGCGCCTGTGGGGCATGGAGGATTTTAACTGCTTGACTAGGGATGGAACCTGCGCCCCCTGCAGTGCAAGCGCGGAGTCTTAACCACTGGACCACCAGAGAAGTCCCTATGGAAGGCAATTTGAAAATACTTTTTAAATTACAAATGTACGTAGGCTTTAACCCAGCGAATCTTCTCAGAATTTATCCTATATACTTGTAAAAGTGCAAAATAATGCATGTACAAGTTTTTTCATTTCAGAATGATTTATAATAGCAAATGACTGCAAACAACAAATGGCTGGGACATGGAAGCAACCTAAGTGTCCACTGACAGATGAATGGATAAAGATGTGGCACATATATACAATGGAATATTACTCAGCCATAGAAAGGAACGAAATTGGGTCATCTGTAGAGAGGAGGATGGACCTAGAGACTACAGAGTGAAGTGAGAAAGAGAAAAACAAATGTCATATATTGACGCATATATGTGGAATCTAGAAAAATGGTACAGATGAACCAGTCTGCAAGGTAGAAATAGAGACATAGATGTAGAGAACAAACCTATGGACACCAAGGGGGGAAAGTGGTGGGGAGGGTGGTGGTGGTGGTGGGATGAATTGGGAGATTGGGATTGACATGTATACACTAATATGTATAAAACAGATAACTAATAAGAACCTGCTGTATAAACAATAAATAAATAAAATTTAAAAAAAAGAAAGAAGTTAAATAAGTTATAGTACATCCATAATGGAATTCTCTGTAACTACTTAGGAAAAAAATTGAAAAAAGACTGAGGAACCTGTATATTTATACTGATAGTGGGAAAAGATTTAAAAGCAGAACATAAATAGAATGTACATAAATAGTATATAGTATGTGCATAGCATTGTTTTTAAAGGGAGGGAGAATTATTTCTATTTGCATTTATTTATATCTCTAGAAGATGAAAGGAGTTAGTAAC